CAATCCCTGCCCGCGAGGGAGAAAGCGTGAAGAGTCTTTTTCTAACGAAGGGTGACCATCCAAGAGGGAGCCGCTCAAATGAGCCCCACCGCACGGGGTACTAGCCAAGAAAGTCAAAAGCGACATTAGTGGATGAATCCGATGATGTCGAGACGGGAAGGGCACTAATGGCGAAATAGAGTGGTATACGTTGTCCCGATTCACTCCCAAACGCAAACCGCATTCTAAACAGACTACAGTGGTCGACATTTCGCCAATGATCCAGTAGACTTCCAGAGCTTCCTGTTGTCGAAAAGCCGCATCGGTAGGAAAGATGTAGTATACCGTACGGACAACGCGATATGCATTCGGTTGAAGTTAAAAATGGTACGCCACCATGCTTGTGTCTGATGGCATTCGCTAATGAGAGGAAGAACGTGGGACTCATCGGTCAATATGACCTATGGGTTAAACGAGGTGTTGTCAGCATAATGGGGGCAAAATTGCCTCCGAGCCCCCATCTCTATAGAATATATGCACCGTCGACGCATTCACTCCCTGTCATAAAATGCGTTTCGGGCATTGAGGGCTACGCGGAGGTTGAGATCAGGTCATGCAACAATGGGCTTAGCCGCTTAAGAAACCTGTCAAACCTATATCATCGGATATGGAATACCAAGGAGCCAGCTCCGGGTTCCATTTTACAGCCCGGCCGATGTTTATCGTTCTCAATCGTAAGCCTGCTTTGAAAGACTTCATTAGCTGCTTGCTAACAAGCCTCCAGCTTCATTCGTCTTCTGACGATCCCTTAAAAAGGCATCTACGCCCACTACATCTTGATAAGAAATGGAGCGCGTCTATTCATACCCTGTCTCAACGAGGAGGCTTTCTTCGAGTATTAACTTGTGGTCCGAAAGGATCTGGAAAATCCACCTTCAATAAATACCTTCTAAACCACCTCCTGAGCCCTCCTCCGTCGGAAGATACCTTGCAACACAACCAACATGGAGTTGCTTTCCTGGATTTAGATCCTGGGCAACCTGAGCTGTCTCCGATGGGTCAAATATATCTTGCCCACTTGCGAACACCACTTCTAGGACCGCCGTTTTCGCATCCAACCCTTAATTCTCAATCAGACGGACATATTGTTAGATCCCATTATATTGGAGCTTCTTCACCGAAGGATGACCCTGACCACTACATCGCGACCGCAATGGATCTGATGAATCGTTATCAAGAGCTTCTCCAGAGCTATCCCCAATGCCCCCTTATCATAAACTACCCTGGTTGGATCTTTGGGCTTGGCCTCGAGATTGCCATATCTTTGGTCACATCATTGGGCCTCACTGATGTAGTATATATGAGTGACAAAGGACCAACTGAGGTCGTGGAACCGCTAACCGCCGCGGCCTCGGAGGCTGGCATCCCCGTGACGATTCTTCCATCTCAACCCACAGATTTTGTGTCTCGATCCAGTGCCCAGCTACGGTCTATGCAGATGCTTTCTTACTTCCATTTCACCCAGCATCAAGGCAAAAATGGAGTTTGGTCTGATATTCCGCTCTGTCAAACTCGCCCTGTAACTGTCAAGTACTCTGGAGCCTCACGGGGGATATTTGGAATAATGGTGACAGGGTCACACCATGAACCGGACATGCTACGTGACCTATTGGATGGAGCGGTCGTGGGGGTAGTTGCAATTGAAAACCTAAATGCAATCGCCAGTATCGACGGTAGGAACGATAAAACCATTGGGGTGCCCCATTTCGATTCCGACGGCGACTTGCAAATGGAGCCAGGTGTCACACTAAACGAAAACCAATCACCATCGCTACCCTCGTCACCATCACACCCATCACCAGATGACGACCAGCATCCTAACATCACTCACACCCCACGCGAGAAACTCCCTTACCTATTCGCAGGCAACGGCGCATGTTGCCCCCTTGACCCCAACCTGTCACACTGCCTGGGCCAGGCAATTATCCGATCCATCAATGCCGAAACACAAACCCTAGACATCTACACCCCCATCCCACACTATAAAATACGCAAGGCACTGGAGCAAGGCAACCGCCTCGTCCTCGTTCGAGGGCAGGTGGACAATCCCAACTGGGCAATCAGCGAAGAATACTTTTCCGCACGAGCTGCGGAGCGCCGGCATCGAAAGCTGATCGCACAAGCGAAGGCGGGCGGAGTCACACCTGATAC